AGTGGTTTGCAAAAAGTGCCATGTTGATTTGCAAATTGTGTGAAAAGCTGAAAACGTGTTTAGAGTTTTGGAGATTTGAGCCGATGTTTTGCTCTTTGAGTGTCAGTTAAAATAATTGTGCTTTATGTATAATTTTAGTGTGTTAGCAATCGAGAAAAACTGTAGGTTGACGAAACACTCGAGTCAAATGTAATTAAAGTCAGATCCACTCATGTCTTAGACGGGGCAGTGATATCATAAACCTGTTAATGTACGCATTCAAACACTTTTTCTTTTACCAGCTGTATTCACCTTGCAGGTGCAACTATGTGGCTTTTATCCTGGATAAAGTGTTTAAGTCATGGATGTTTAAAGTTTAACTTTTTCATATTTGTCTAATATTATAGTTGACTTTTCCTTCAGGAAGTATGACGCTGCGCTGTCAGTACGCTTCTCCATGTTTGTGATTGGTCGAATGCTCCAGATACCACCCCTTTAATGTGAACGCGCACCTAACTATATGGCTTGAGCTAACGAGTTGATAGCCAGCGTTGTAGTACAGTTTAGCAAGAGCTGCTTTGTTTTGGATTAAGTCAACCGGATAACTCAAAACATATCCAGGATAGGTTGAACTAGATTCGTGGTATACCCCCCTGGTCCCGACCAGGTTAGCCGCACAGCATAAGTTACCATGGAGATCTAGCCTGCTAAAAAGAGAACCAGCTTCGTAGGACCGGAAACCCAGAGTTTTCCCTGAAGTTAGCCGGCTAAGCAAAAATCCTGCTTCGTAGCATACCCCCCAGATGGCACGACGTAGAATAACCAAACTCTTGTTTTATCTTTTTTAAAAAGCCTGAGGCATTCTCTTGTGAAGGTGGGGTAATTCTGTATCTATCTATCTCCGGTTAAGAAAATTAAAACGTACGTAAGATAATGTTTTATCTGTCAAAACGCCTTAATACTGTAGCTGCTCTTCTCTTTGTGCCCAGCAATCAGGAAGAAGTTTGATTTGAACATCACCATCAAATGGCAGACCACAATGAAGTCGACCACTGACGAGCCCCCCCCTCCACATAAATTCTCTAAAAGCCTCTTTCCGACCCCCCTGAAGCCGCCACGCCACGTTCTCACCCCTCTACGCCCCCCTCCCCGCCTGGCCCGCCCTCCATCCAGGGATGCCAGGGAATTCTGCAAAGCAGTGGGAGAACCCGCTGTCCCCCAGACCCCGCCCCCTCCCAGCTCCTCCTTCTGCGCCTCTTCCCTGGAGGGTCACCTCACGTCCTCAGGGTCCCTCCACTGCCCCATGGCGCTGCTGTGTGAGCTGTGTGAGGCGAAGGGTGTTGGGGTGCCGCAGTGCAATCTTACGCTGAACCAAGCGGGGTCCAAGGGCTTCATGTTCTTCTTTTATAAGCTGTCCGTCCCCGGGATAACCCCCGACTTCAAAGGGCAGGTCATGATCTTACCGGGACCCTCTGCCTACGACACGGTGGCGGAAGCTCATCAGGCTGCGGCTCTGCAGGTTCTGCAGAAGATCTGCAACAATTAGCCCCCCCAGCTGATCACCACCCCCTCCTGCAGCACTGTTTGCTTGTTAATGTTATTTACAGATAGATGTTCAATATTTTTATCTTATTTTATCTGCATGCTTTTATTATAGTTCGCTTGTTTGTCGTTCAACTTCAGTGTTTTATTTGTGCATGCTTTTTACGTGTTACTCTTTATTGTTTCCTCATTTTTAATAAATGAGATTGAAAGGAAAATGTGATGGTGGTGTTACTTCATGTAAATGAATGGAGTGAATGTTAACTCTTTACTACAACGACTGATTAATGACCACTTGCACAGTGGGGATTATCAACAGGAAGGTGCTTTTCTGCTAACAGGTTTTATTTAACCCAGGCTAACATAATCCTGGCCATTCTGACCCAGATACAGATGTGTTAATCCTAGATCAAGTTATCTTGATCCGAAGTGTGTTCTTTGCAAAATGTCCCTGAGCCTTCACTGAGTCCATGGGTGTTTCTCCATGTCGAGGAAGGCTCCTCCAGAGCCACTATTTCAAGGATGCTACGTCATCGAGTCCCGCCGAAGGACTGTTCCAATGTCCAGGATCCTTGGAATTCTACCGAGGACTGAGTCCTTCGTTGCGGGAAATTTCAAGGCTGCACATGTGTATCCTCCGGTCTTAAAATTCCCACAATGCTTGGCGCACGGACGAATTTCCCAAAATCTGTGGTGGAAAATGTAAGGCGGGGCCTCTCATATGACGCACACTTGCTTGCCTGCTCCACTCTTCGTTTTCCGAATGCCAGGAAGGATTCTTGCCTAGCTTCTGAAGGAAGTGACTCAGAAGACATGTCCTACCAAGGAAGCATCCTCGACATTGAGAAAAACCCCCCATGTCTCCACGTCCTCCCTGGATGAAGCCCAGCCTCTTCCTCTCAGATCTGCAGCGCTCCAGTCACCCTGATGTGAAGCTTGTTGCACCCACAGAAAAAGATCTGTATCTGTTCAAAGCACTGGAGAGGTCAAAGAAGATGACTGTCAGTGCTTCCATGCAGGTGAATGGAGGAAGATGGTGTCCTCTTCTCCACTCTAAGCTTACTGCGTCAGGATTAGCCTCTCGGTTTGTAGCCACCCTAATTATAAATAGCATTGTTTTGATACAGGACTATTGCACCAGATTCATAAAATCTGCCATTATAGCTAAAGAATCTTAAAATGATCCTGATCAAGCTGTTAAATGAGATGTGTCTGAAAGACTTGTTTCACTGATAGTTCCAAAATAATTTACAAATAGTCATCCATATAATATGGAAAGTTTATCCACATAGGAACAAGATGTAAAGACGAGGTTTTGATGTATTGGCTGAGAACTATTTATGTAATGCATGATTTTCCTAAATGTGGCTGTAAGAACAAGTGTTTTAATCTTGAGAAGGCTACTTTTGATACAAGAACAAGCTAACTGACTATTAATTACAATAGTAGGCTTTATTATAGACTGCACCAAATGAAATCGTGCCATTGGAATCTCTTGAAATCAATATTAGTCAAGAAGATATTCAGTTTACTAGCAGGAAAGAAGAAACTAATGTTGTGTTCCTTATATTCAACCATTTTTCTAAAAGGATTTCTATCTTTCAGGTCTCCAGTGGAATAAGATAGCATTTTAAACCCTATTGAAGAACTTGCTTGATTTCTGTTACATTTGTGTGTAGTAAATGTTGATCTGAAGAAAAGTGCTCTTCATTATTAAAAAACATCCAACAAGATTTGTCAGCACCCTCGTAGACAGTTAAACCCAGTCTGATATAAAGTAATACAAACCAAAACAGGCTACATGGCTACATGCCACCTAAGTACAGTAAGTGAGAAACATCATATTGTTTTAAACTGAGAATGTCAGTGAACACAAGCTGCTGAGCAATGAGTTTATTTCAGACACCTGGCAGTACAGCCATGGAACAAATGAAAGTGTTTTTGTTAGAAGCTGAGTTTAACTTCAGCATGGGATGGTGCAGGGAGAAAGTACACGTCTTAAACAGAACAGAGATGAAGCTGTACAAATAAATGTAGCTGCTCTCTAGCAGCTTTGTAGATAATAATAACTGATGCGTTCCTCACAGCAGCTCCCTGTTAAACAGTGCTGACACTGAAGGCATGTTACCCTTAAGAACATCATGTTGGCATCATTGCTAAGGGTAACTTTCTTTGTTTCATGTTGCCAAGGAATCTGTAGAAGAGTGCAGTGTCTGTTTGAATGTGGCGTGGGGGGGGGCAGGGGTTAACGTCTAGGCCTCAGAGGTCCTCCTCTTGATCTCAGCTATCAGATCTGCTCTGGATATATCAGCCTGTGGGGAGAGAGCAGACAGTGAGGTTAGTCCTGCAGCATCACAAACTCAGTTTTACGGCCCTGTCAAACAGCCAAATATATTGGCCCTCAACCCTAAACTGCTCCCGATGGCCAACACTGAGTATGTGTGAATGTTAGTCTCTGAGCCTGTATGGCTGCCTCTGCATGATTGTGTGTGAATGGTAATAAAAACATAATTTGGTATCATCTTTAATAAAGATGTGTTCAGGTACCTCCTCTCTGGTTGCCACGGCGCGCAGCTTCACCACCCCATCCTTCAGCTCCTGCTCTCCCAGGATGGCCACCAGGGGGATCCCCGAGTCCTCGCAGTACTGCAGCTGACTCAGCAGTTTGGGGTTCTTCTTGTAAATTACCTCTGCCTGGACACATACACAGCATTCAGTGTGACGAATAATACAAATAATATTTTTAAATGACAGCATGACAAATGTCAACTTTCCACACCAAAAAGTCCAAAATTAGCAGTAAAGGAACAAGTGCCCTTTTTGAGTGAATGGAAGTTATATTCCATTAGTCTATGTTTTATTATAGACTGAGAAATGTATTTTTATTTTTGATCAAAAGTTACACGCTTTTCGGAAAGAAAATCAGCATTGGCAGGTCAGTCTTAAAATAATATAAACATTTAATTGATGAATCTCTAGTCTAGTGCAAAGGTGATAGTAATAATTTTCAGAAATCAGACTCCAGACTTACGAAGTAACATTAAACAAGGTTAGTGGAATCTGCAAATATAACACAAGTTAACACAGACCTTGATGCCAGCGTTCCAGAGCTCAGTGAGCAGTTTGAGTCTCTCCTCCAGCAGGTTCTTCTGAGCAGACACTACCATCACCTGAACCTCTGTGGTGCGGACCCTCTGTGCTGAGGCCTGAAACACACACACGTATTAACAACATACTGTTACAGTCTGACTGACACACACACACACACACACACACACACACACACACACACACACACACACACACACACACACACACACACACGTCTCAGGGTGCATTCACACCTAATAGTCCGCTTCTCAGGTGTGCACCAGACCACAGTTTGTTTCATTTTTCAGAAGGTTCGGTTTGCGTAAAACTCAAACGAACTATAAACACAAGTCATGTGCACGGAAATGCTGTTCAACCATTGGTCAGACATTAAGAGGATAAAAACGCAAATCCCGGCAATTTCTATCTGATTCTCCGCCATGGAGCATCGGCACTTTCGGCAGGTTATGCTCATGCTGCTGTTAATCTGGAGATCAACAGACACTAGCAGCCCGCGCATATGATTATCAGACAACGTCCGTTAAAAAACATTATGACACATATAATGAGAGACGTTCTGCAGTAAGGAGGGGCGTTTTACGACAGGTGTTCTTAATATTATGTAGTTGACACTGTTCAACACTTCATTCTGCTTCACTCTTTAACTAAACAACCGCGGATGTCTTGAAGGATTCTTTCGCTAAAGATTTTGAAGACATCAGCGTTCTTGAGACACGTAAATACTACGCTTCCTATGTTTTGGTGCGGACTGCGTTCACACCAGCAATTAACCGCTCCAGAGTTCGCAAGCAAGCGTTTCCGAGACTACCTATTTTAGCGGACCAGAGTCCGGTTGTTTAGTTCACTTAAGAGGTCTCGGACTGCTTTCACACCGACCCAAATGAACCGTACCAGGGTTCGATTCAACCGGACTATACAAGGCAGGTGTGAACGCACCTCACTCACTCACAGGATTACCTCGGCCTTCTGCTCCATGATGGAGAAGATCCTCTCGATGCCGATGCTGACCCCCACACATGGCACCTTCCTGCCCTTGGGGTCAAACATCCCCACCAGCCCGTCATACCGGCCCCCGCCCGCTACGCTGCCCACGCTCACACTCTCCTCTGCACCGGAACCATTCTGGGCTTCAGCAGCGATGCCTGCCTGAGTCAGAACCCCCTCGTAAATGATCCCTGTGTAATAGTCCAGACCCCGGGCCAGACTCAGGTCAAACACCACCTGCACAGGATGGAGGAATGAAAAGGTAGCAGGTTAACAGAGAAGAGAGGAAAGTAGAAGGTATGATAAGGAGCTTTAACACATTGCTGACTCCAGTGAACAAAGTGAATGTTCGGAAATATATCAGTTGAGTCACCTTGTCCGTGACCTGGAACAGCTGCAGGTAGCTGAACAGTAGCTTAATGTCCGTCAGCCCCGCACAGGCCTGCTTACTCTGAGACATCTTCTGATCCTGCAGAGGCGCTCTGCCAGCTCCATCCCACCTCGACAACACAAACAACAGCAACATCAGCACCCACCCTGTTGGAATAAGGTCCAGTACTCCCCCTCTTTAGCTCTGTTTTAATGTATAGGGGGCTCCATGAGATCAGCGCTGCTCATAATAAATCATAACCGTAATATATTTTCTCTTTTCATTCTTTTATTTTTTTTTATTTAAAATATCAGAATACAGTACAGTATCTATCCTACTTTATTTATTATTAATTTCAGATTTGTGTCTTATTGTAAAGGTTTATATTTTTACCTATTCCTGCAACTTACCTGCAACTTTTTGTCTATTTCACAATTGTTTTGCATTATTTGATGTCTTGTAATTGTATGTATCATGTGTTGCATTGTTGGAGGAGCCTGGCGCATTTTCGCTGCAGCGCGTAGCACGGTTTAAGCGTGCCGTGCCAAACCGGTCCATTTCTTGTTGCGTTTCCACTAGGCGTAGTTCCGCAACTACAACAAGATGAACATATTTGACCGTGATTTAATTGTAATTCACGTTTCAAAATGATGCCGAAGTAACAACATACTGATACCGGATAGTAAAAACCATGAATTAATGCTTTGACAAGTCTGCAGACAGACGGCAGGCGAAAAACCTTTTAAAATGCGTGCTTTCTGAATGGAGATTTGGCTAAGCTAACGTAGTATATGCTCCGACCGTCCATACTCACAACAACGGCCTATACAGACATAAATAAACCAGCGACTGTATTCGCCATGACACAGACAGTATGTGGTTTGTACTTG